CCTTTGCGGACTACACATTCCTCGCCTAAATTCTGAACGATTCGCAAGGACCGTAGGCAACGGAGGTCCTCATCATAAACATACTGTGTAAGACAAGACCATCCTCTTTTTCTAGGCAATCTTCCCAAACTCTTATTCTTACAATATTTAATAGTCCATAGTCTTCCAGGGTCCGGGATCAATGCAATATTACCAAGTAGGTAAGTATGACCAATTCCTGGTACCTTACAGGTGCTGCTGGTTTATTGTTGTAGGTAGTATTGCCCCATATAGGCTTCGTATACCTACCTAAGCCCGGCCCATTACGACCTTTTATATCAGCCAGGGGTATCCAAGCCTCTATGGTGTTTAGGCGAATAGCCATGCATTCACGACGGATCTTTCTGTCCGCTAAACCCAAGTAAGCAGGCCTGTCAGACGCTAATGGCCACTAAACAAACTAAATTCTGCATTGAAATTTATGGAAGAGGGGAACATCCCTGACTCTTTAGGCTCGATTTGGTTTGTGCTTTTGACTGTCTCCTTCTGCAAGTGGCAATTCAGTAGTCAGTCAAGTGCTTACTGCTGCCATTATTTGCCCCTGGTACCTGCAGCGTCCGAACCAGGTGCAGAACTGCAGAGGATGTCATCAAATATTTTAACTTCTCTTCCTCCCTTCCTACCGAAAGTTTGAATCTCGAAGCATTCATAAGTATGGAAATCATTAGACGGAAAGAAAACAAAACCCGCTGTACCATGCGAGCTGAGACGTCAGCGGTAGCGTCATTCGTTCTGGGCACAGAGGAAACTCGTCCTTTAGAAATAGGATCTAGATCTTGCCTAGGCAGCGATTCGATTCTGTGTCCGTTCCCAGCTGCTCCACAATGACATGAATAACGATAGTCAATAATGGAGGATAGATACTTATTTTGTACTACTCAGGCACTTTAACTGCTTCCTTGTCTAATCTGCCAATGACGGAAAATGATGCGCATTCAGCTTAGTGTCCAGACAGAATACAAATCTCCACAATCCCAAGCCTCATTGCAACGGGTCCCTCCCACTCTCTTCAAGATTTCCAGAGTCGAGTCTCAGACTAATCGTCCGGCTTTCTTCGTTATCTGCACCATAAGGGGCCATGCCCTTGGAGCCGCACCTGCGCCAAGTTCTCACCTCCATCCGTTTCAGATCGATAACTAGTACTCTAGTACGCAGTAGGCTGTAGCAGGACCAGGAACCACAGAATTCAAACACTGGTCTTTTTTCTATTCCAGGAATCGGGCTTCCAGACCATACCTAGGTAAACAGGTGTTACTTGACGGCACAATATGCTTATTGATCGGCAGCCTCCGCGGAACAGGCACGCGGCGTGAGTAGCGGGAATACGGGATAGACTAGGGATGAAGTTTCCCCAACGGTTTACGGGCAATCCTCGCTTCAAAAAAGCTCGATAATCTCTGAACTTACAAGATGAGTGTCTTCTTGTCTGGTTAAGCAATGATCTTCGTAGTAGACAATGATTCCATCCCATAATATGCTTCGATATACTCCGTATTCGTATCGATCTTGTCAATCATCAGAAGTTCAGAACTGATGATCAGATCGTACTCTTTAAAGGCTTGAAGTCTTAACCAGACTAAATCCTCAAAGCCTACGATCAATAGATACGGCCAAGTTCTCCGTCAAAAGAATGACAAATGAAGTATGGAGTCTCTGCACAACATCGCTCCTTGCTGACTGCCGAATTTGGTTGCTTTTTTTCAATTTCCTCGTTCTACTTTGGCGTCAGCCACCCACGTGGAGTTTACTATTATGGGAGCGTCCCTCGCTGTCTATCTAGCATTAACGTACTCCGTAGGAAATCTCCGTTCGATTTTCCACCCTCGTTTCAGCGGCTCAGGCTCTCCCCGAGTCGGGCACCACTCAAGTCGTCTGGGATAATGAACTATAAGATCGAAAACACGGCCCGTCTAGCAATATATTCTGGTTTCTATAAATTCCTACCGCGTACTCTATACTCCGAACGGGTTCTACTTAGTGGTAGCAGAGCAGATTGTTATGGTGATTGGGTATCCAGCTTGTCGTATATACGTAAAACCCAACAATAGCGGGTGGAAACTCCCTCTCTGATTCGTTACAGTGGAGTCATTGGAGTTCAATGAAGAATGTCATAGCAAAGTTGATCCCTGACTTCTGAGGCAAACATCGAACGACTACTGCAGCTACGCCGCACCTGCGGGCGATCAGCGCAATAGCAACAATGGACAACATCAGAAAAGAAACAATTACAAAGTAGACCAGAGACGTAGTCAGTCTCATGCTAGACATGGACAAGCAGCAAGGTCTCTACTATCAGGCTAATTATCATAAACCATAGTCTAGTTAGGCATAATACGAGAATTATTATCCCGATGTGCACAGGAGGAGATTACACGGCAGCCTAGACGGGTCCAATCCTTGAGGCGAAGTTGCAGTTTTGCCGTCAAACAGATGACACAACGGCGCACAGAAAGACTTGTATTTGAATTTTGCCACTGTCTTGCACGATCTCGTCAATTGGTCGTGTGTTCGGTCTTGAAGACTGTCGCACACTCGCACTTTCGCTCCATATAGTCCTTGGAAGAGGCAGGCTGAGCCCAGACCTCGTCGATATCGCGATTGCTAATTGCTCCGTACATGTGAGACAGTAGAACCAAGCTGAACATTGGCATGGCATCAGCTCTTGATTACGGGGAACTGGTGGAATCGGCGGTGATTTGCGGAAGGATCAGCGGCAATTAACGGCCAATATACCATGCATCAGTCGAGGCAAACTTTAGCGGCGTAAGGCGCAACCGGGACTCGGTGGACGGGAGAGATATGATAACTGCCTTCTTAACATCTAGACGACCATTATTGAACTTTCTTGATCCTGACTGGCTTCCTTTGAATCATCATAAGTAGAAACTATCTAGACTCGATGGGTGTAGTGACCTCCAGCCTGTGCTGCCTTCTCCTTGGTTGACTGGCAAGCGAGTCACATCGAACTCTCCCCGCCATTGAACCAATCAGCCTCCCTTCCTCCATCCTTGCGGTGATCTGAACGAGAATTGGTTCTCTCGTAAGCCAATCTACGATTATCTCAGACACTCCTCGATCATCGATCTTTAACTCTACTAATCACATCCCATGGACTCGATTGTCGATGCGGAGTACCCTGCGGTCAATGCCCGCACGAGATAATCATCCAATCTGGTGGATCAACGTCTGCTGCAGCAATCCGAAAGCGCTTCCTGCATTGATCGTCCACCGTCCTGCAGATTCTGTCATATAGACGTGATTCGACAGTGCTTCGTACACATATCCTCTCATTTTCCTGCCGCGGTCGAATTGGGGAGCGTTCTTCCATTCTCGGCTCTTCCCTGATCCTGGCCACATGATGTGATGTCGGCTACCTACTCCAATCTCTCTTCCAGAGAAGTTTATTCTCGGGATCTGAAATCGTTGGGCGTCCGCGCCAGGCGAGCGAATTGGCTGGCAAGTCTGCGTTTGTCGACCTTCAAAGTTGCGGTCACGTCGAAGATCCTTACGCTCTCTGGCTCTGGATGGGTGTCTGGTTATGCTTCATCACTTGATCCTTGATGACTAGGGAGTCCACGAGACCAGATCCATCTACCTGCTATATTCAGGTAATGATTTTGTCGAAACCAGTTCGATCAGGCCTTATTTGGGGTCTTGAAATCATTGCCCTTATTACTGATCCTGATATGTCTGCACCTACTCCGTATATCGACAGAGAAAAGGAGACTCAGAAGTCAACCAGAATAAGCTTCGTGTCAAACTCGTCGCGTGCCTGCAGGAGTCTGCAGCTGGAGAACTCGGAGCACCGCGCAGGTTCAGGCAACTTGCAGGGACGTAGGTCTAACACAACAACAAGATGCCCGACCTTTTTCGCTCCAGGTCGCACCCCAGTATCTGCACTAACTAGAGGAGCGCAGCCTTGTCCGAAATGACGTCCAGGCTCAAATACTTGCTAATGCTGACATTGTATAGGCTTGGGAGAGGAAAACCTTGCATATTCTGCCTATATTACTTTTCACCCTCAGCCTTGTATAGCCGTGACATTCAACAAGCTGTCCTAGGGTACACGCAACCCTCTATATGTAGATCTCTATTTACTTCCGAAGAACAAGCAATCACTTCGTAAGAAGAGCACAAAAGTTGAAGTAGGAAAATATGTCATCTTCCGCAGAAAGTACTTCGTAGTCAACAGCTCATATATTTTCTGTTGCATTCAAGTGCAGTAAGTATTATGGATAATTCAAGAGCGTCAGCCGTCCATCTAAACCAGGGAATATTCGAAGGTACATCAACGATCCAAGGTCGTATGCTTACTGTCCGTTGCGATGACTTGGTGTCATTTAGACTTCAGGCTCAACGTGTCCAGGGGGTTACCTTACGTGGAGTTCAGGCGTTTTTAAAACTTCAAATATATAGTCCCCAGTGCCCCTGCGACTACACAACCTCTTCATAGCTTCCTCCCTCTCTGACTCTCTCCGCTTTTTGATCTCAAGGGACTCCTGTACAGTCGTGAGCCAGCCCTCTGTCTGCTGACATAGTGAAAAATGCTCCTTGTCGACTATAATATTGCTTTGGAAACTGACAAATGCAAGGTACCAGACTGTCAAACGAACTCGCGTATTCTGGGTAGCAATCTGGACGGTTTACCTCACGACAACCAGTACAGGACTACCACAGCTATACAGAGTTGTCTAATGCAATCCCACTGTCAAGAACATCTGATATGAGTGATGCGGTGAATTGTTACCCAAAGCTGCCTTGCCTTTCTACAGAATTATCCAACTACCTGAAGTGACTGGGCAAATGCGATGCTCAGGACCTTTCTGTAAACTTTGACCGGCTAGGACGAAGACTAATGAACAGAAAACCAGACTCAAAGATTAGTTGAGCGGCTCATACCACATCAAGGCATGTATTGCTCGGCTGCTTATATGCCCCAAGTACTATAACTCCCTGCTCTGTTAAGCCAGTGCTGCATCCCTGACTGCGATGGCTGGGGCCAGCGGTACTCCCTCCTCCTCATCTGATACTTCCTTGCTCGGCTTCAACAAGTGCGTGAGACCCAAGAGCTTTTGCTTACTCAATTGCATTAAACTGTACCAGACTTGAGTTAACAGCTGGTCGATCTTACTGTGTAACTCTATGTTCCCTTAATGGGCAGCTGACAGCTCCTTTGTTAGTGTGTCCAGAGAAACTGCAGTGCTTGCCAGCTGGGAGGAGATGGGTGTATTTTTATCATTTAATCTCTGCCCTTCTTGTTTAAGCATGTCGATCTCTGACTGCAAGGTCTTCTTATTGTTCTCCAAGCCCAGGTTGACAGACTGAACTTCGCGCAGCTGAGTAGTCGTCGCGGTCAGCTCCATAGTTGCTGACTGTCCGCTGTTTTGTAAACCTGATGAGAGGGTGGACTACCTGGTAGTACTACGTCGCCAGACTGGTCATCATGATCCCAAAGACAACCAGTATCATTACAACAGTGATCAAAACCTGCGGATATCCTGAATCAACCAGCGGACCAGTCACAACACGACTATGATGATTAATGTGGCCTGCACGCTTCCCACCCAGGAAATGGATAATGACGACAGCAACGTCAGCAGCACCATCTAATAAAACTCTTAGAATGCGCCATACAACGTAAGTAGTCCCCTGTTCATTAGCTTGAGTCGAGTCATACTGTGACTGGTACTCATAGACTTACCATGAGTTTACAAACACGCAAAATCCAGTGACTACACTGAGCCACGCTTGCAATCCCCCATTCGGAACTGGTTTCGCTGGCTCTGCGGACTCAGCGTCTTGTCCTGTTTGTACCGGGACGGCTTCCGCAGTTAGCAAGTATCCACCCTTTGACTGTCCCCATGCTGCTTGTCCAAAGAATTCTTCCAGGATTCATGAGGACTCTAAGAATATGGAGAAGCCTTCGGAGATTCTCCAATCCGGGAGTCGCAGCAGAAACCAACGGCTGTACTTGCGAAGGTTTACATAGAACTGTATACTTTCGATCTGCTGCCTAGCTCTCTATTATACATTATTGCAATCTGTGCCTACTGCTCAGCAACGTATCCACCCGCGCTTCAGCCAGCCCGGAGGTATTGACCTCTCAGCGTTGTCGGTACGGATTGTGTGGGCGTGTGGCTACTCTTCAAAGCTGATAGACATTCATCAATCAAGCTAATTCATGTCTAACCGTGGCTGCAGACGCAAGTTCCGAGCGCGGAGATTTTGAGGAAAGTTCCGCCAGTCCCGAGTGCCTGACATATATTCCCAATGGCTGCGTGTGATCTATTCTCTGATTGTGATGCCGTCGCAGAATATAAAAGTATACACCTGCTCCTATGGCGAGGGCTCCTAGAGGAACGCCAACTCCGATACCAATTTTTGCGCCTTCTGTGAGTCCAGATGGACCGGAATGATCCATGGGACTTGCAGGGGGTGAAGTTGAAGTTAGGAAAAAGGTAGATGATGATGTTGATGTTGTCGACTGGAACACACTTGTTGACTTGGGTAGGTCGGATCGCTCCCAGATGAGCGGAATCCCATCGGCGTAAACGGTTAGTGGAGTCGAGAGTGTACTCGTGATGATAATACCAGAGGCCGCCAGTGTGACTTTTTCCTTTGCGGGGAGGACACCGCTGCATTGATGACCATTAGCGTAGTAGCCCATACTCCTAGTCAGGTAAGCGTACATCCTAGGCCAAGTTCTGGGTCGCTCACGAAGGACAGCAAATCGCTCCACTGCTGCTACTTGTTATGTCGATCCCATTCCATGATCCGGATAATTGGCCCGCTGTGGCCCATCCACTGGGACAGTATAGCCCTGGAGAATCTGTTTGACAATCCATAAGTTCATCAGTGCATCTCTTGGAAGATCAAGTCCACGTACACCAGTATGTCCCCCAATATGTAGGAGAAATGAGTAGTGAGGTTGGCATTGTGCCAGTTGGGTAACATGTTTGGCCTGGTCCATCAAACCAGTGCCCATAATACATAGTTGTTTGTGGTATCCCATTCACCTCGTAGACAGCTGTTGATAAAGTCTGGAGACAAGGAGTTGGGAGAGCAAAAGCCGTGGTTAGTGGCCCTCGGTTGAAGTAGTTTGTTATGTTGGCCGATGTAGTCATTTCGAAATTTTCAGTCTACGAGGCCTAATAGTGACAAAGAAACAGGATCAATCAAGAGATTTAAGCATTACTCCCAAAGTTTTGCACGCGGGGATCCGACAAAATGGCATACCTAGCGGACAAGCGGTGGATGGGCGCTTAGCACATGGCATGATTGAATGGCACGGCGGTTATGTATCTGGTCCAGGATCATTCGAAGCTGTGAGTGATAACCAATTAGAGGTATCGGCCTATTAGGGCCATGAATATAAATTTTCCTGGTTGCCTAGCTTGAGCTTCATGAAGGACGCTCTTGTCCAAGATATATTTGCCTACTCCGTATGGGACGAGTTTGACAACGCACGCAGGTTGAAATATAACAGACAACATATGTATGCGAGCTGCGCCAACAACCTTAATTTGGAGACAATTGCCTTACTGAAATACTTGCAACTGTCCTGTAGATTTAAGTTAGGATAATCCCATGTATGCGTGGGAAGTGGGAATGGTCCCGAACTATCCTGCAGCATTCACAGACCTCCGTCTAGGCTCAAAAATGTTAAACATGGCATTACAGTTCAGCTTCGCGCCTCCCTTACCTTGCATATCACAATAGATTGCCTAATTCAAGCCAAGGAACCGTATCAGTTTATCCTTAACAGTTGAATATACGCACAATGTCTCAACCAGGAAGGGTATTCTGAATACAGCATGTCTCCGGAATAGTCGACGAAAACAAGCATTTTTTTGTGAAAATTATCGGTGCAGAATAAGTCCAAAGTATCTAAACGATGAGTAACTTCAGCTGCATGTGTCGGCGCTCAGCGCTTAGAAGTGATTGGCGAACTTGCATTAACGTAATGAGCGGCACAAACTTTTGATACACTACCACCTCATCCCCTGATTAGTTAACAGATTGCTTCATGTAACTATCACCGACTCATTATTATGCCTTAAAATCTACAGATCCAGCTGCTGAATCAGAGGACTAAATACAGCTCGCAATTCAAGTATTTAAAAATGGCCAATTTAAGAGCATCCGCGCAGCAGCCGCAGTGTATGATGTACCATATTGTACGCTCACTTACTGAATCAAAGGTCGAAAAGCACGCCTGAACATTCCAGCAAATGGCCAGAAGCTTACAGTTTTGGAAGAAGCTCCTCTTAAGAAGTGGATTCTTGACATGGATGAGCGTGGTCTCCCTCCAACCCAGGATATGGTACGGATGATGGCAATTCTATGAGTATGATATCACTTCTTGGTGAAAAATATACTCAACACTGGCCTCTCCAACAACATGCACTTTGCATAACATAGCTTGCTCAGAGTTCCAGAGGTGCAGCGGATCGACAACGTTCTTTGGATTTCCAGTGCTAGCATACCGGGTCTAAACTATTCCGTGCTATTGATGACTGTCACAACGATCCTGCCGGAAACGAACGCGCAGAGGCTCAGTATGTGTGATACGATTCTCAAAGGCCGGAGAGGAATGATGTGCGCAGCTTCAAGTGAAATCCCCGTCTCTGCATCAGCCACTTATCAACAACTGCAAGCAGGTTGACGCGGCCTATGATAAGACGACGTCCATCCCGTTTTTTGTACTTGAGGTATTGCAACTATATCCAGCATTTACAGAGTAAGGTATGATCGTTGGTTACGGTTACCACCTACATAACCTAGACAGGAAATAGTAGATCGTATTGTATAGAAGCACAATCGCATTTCCCGCAGATGGGCGGATGTCATTGACTACGAATTGCCTGTTTGAAAACGGGGGTTTGTAACCATCCTCGGGATGTGCAAATTTTATCATTTTCTCAAGTCTAACACTAATCTGACATGCGAATCGCGAATTCATGACGGACAGCTCGCCCAGAGGGAGTCAATTCAGGTAAAGGCAATGCGCAAAAAAAGTCTATCATCAAATCGAAGTCAGCAAGGATACGATGAAATCGTTTGATGACTCAAAAGATGGAAATAGCATCATTGTCAGAAGTCCATTAAGATCATCGAAGCAGACCACAAGGATCCGCTTCTGACATAAGAGGTACCAGAAAATAAAGTAAAAAAGGTGTTGTATCATCACATAGATAAATCAAGAGTAACAATGAAATTGCAAGTTCAGAACATACCTTTTGCAAACTTAGCTGAGAGCGACTGTGAAATCGTCAGTCAGTCATATGTAAGCTCTAAAGCTAGCAACCGTTCAATTGATCAACATGAAGATCAGAACGTCGAGCATTGTCGACAAAAGATAATTATAAGGAGGGAGAGAGAAGTTTCGCGGACGTTGTAACTGCAGAAAAAGTAAGAAAAGCTAAGCGAACTCCACCAGCACGTGACCCACACTCCACCACCCGCCCGTCGTTTATCCCATTCATCTTCACATCGGCTTCAATTTTTACGATTTCATCCATCGCCAGTCCAACTCCGTCGACACACCCGACCAGTACACCCCCGACAATAATTCAAGATGGGGTAAGTTATCGCTCTTTGCGATTCAATGCAACTCGAGACGCATCACCATAGTCGCTATTCCGAACACTCGAACTAACGAACTCGCTACAGTCGTATGCACAGCAAGGGAAAGGGTATTAGCGCCTCTGCTATTCCCTACAGCCGTTCTGCTCCTGCCTGGTTGAAGACCACCCCCGACCAGGTCGTCGACCAGATCTGCAAGCTCGCCAGAAAGGGTGCTACCCCTTCTCAGATTGGTGTTGTCCTCCGTGACAGCCACGGCGTTGCCCAGGTCAAGGTTGTCACTGGTATGTTTATTCAATATTCGTCCTGTCTGTTTCTACCGTTCGCTAACATTGCATTTTGCAACAGGTAACAAGATCCTGCGTATCTTGAAGTCCAATGGTACGATAATACCGTCCGTCATAACTTCAATCGCACCAGTATAGACGAGGATATCAAGGCTAGGGGATCATGGACAAGGATGTACGGCGGTTGCTCTGAGAATGAGATGCAAGAGCGTAGAAACACCTCTGCATGAAATCGCTGTCGCCCGTCTTAGTTCCCCGCCTCGATTCCGAACTCTATAATTGGAAGTGAGAAAATCTTTTCGCAGAAATGCAAAAGTTTTCTCTATGCCTCTGCTTGGTCAATCCACAGGCTGACAGAGAGATTTTCGTAAAAACAGGCCTCGCTCCCGAACTCCCCGAGGACCTTTACTTCCTGATCAAGAAGGTAGCGTTGCATCTTTCTCTTGCCCCTATATTCCAAGTCTTACTGATTGTTGTAGGCCGTCGCCGTCCGCAAGCACCTTGAGCGCAACCGCAAGGACAAGGACAGCAAGTTCCGCCTCATTCTCATCGAGTCTCGTATCCACCGTCTGTCCCGCTACTACAAGTCCGTCGGTGTCCTGCCCCCCACCTGGCGTTACGAGTCCGCCACTGCCAGCACCCTTGTCGCTTAAGCGGCTCGCCATCTCTCTGGTCTTGGTGTGTGGTTGTTGGTTCTGTGACATTTCGTTGTCGATGAGGAATTTCGCTTTGGCAACCTGAAATGGTTGCGGGGTGATAGACTAGGACTCTCCTAGTGTTAATGCATGAACGATCCTAGATACCTCTTGTCGCGAATAGTCAAAAAATCAAAACAAAATTTAACTATACCTATGATTTCCCAATTGTAGCTTCAAGTAGTTCGCTCTGTAAGTAATAAGACTGCCTGCGGGTATAAATAACTGTACATCGCAATTCTTCTATGCACTATCCCAAGTACATGCGAAATCAACTCGATCGTCTAACCTCCTTCGCAACCGCGTTGCAAAGCTCAACTCTCACACCCGCTCCAGTAAGCACATGAATCCACAACCTCTGGGTATCACTCAAGCGATCATTTTCCGACTTGACCTCCACAAACATGACTTCTTTCTTCTCCACACTCCAAAGAAAGAGATCAGGTATCCCCCCGCCGCGCTGCTGATACTCCTGGGCCATGACCTTGCAAATAGTGGCGAGGGCTTCGCCTCGAAAACACTGCACGATCTCAACCAAGTCGTCCAGCTCAAAGGCCCAGTCGATGCCGATGGCGCAGGTCTGCTTCGCTGATTCACGCTCATGGATATCACGAATAATCCTCTCAGCAGCGCCGTTCGTTATTTCTACCAGACGGTGATTGATCTCTGATGCGCGGGAGGGGTAGAATGCATCGGTGTGGAGGTCTAGCGGACAGGTTTGAAAGGGTGTTTGGAAGACATTAGGGACATAGGCAAATAGGATGTCGTAGAAAAGGTAGCCGAACTAGGATTTATACGTTAGCTGTGAGATCATGCGAGGTGGAATGAAGCATACCAAGGTTCTGACGATCCCTCCTTCTGCATGGTACCCCTTCCAGCCGTGATCCCTATACCAGCTCAAACACATGCTTTCGACTCTGCATTCGCCTCCGCCTTCTCTCTCGTCAATCCAGATGGTCGGGCGTCCTCGCCTGGTCGAGGATTCCTCGCTTTTCCCTGAAGCGCGAGCAGGAGAGTCCTCCCGTTCGATTCGTATACCTTCAATCGTCCGTACTTCTGGTTTGGCCAACATGACATGGCCAAAGTCGTGTTGCTCGCGCTTGACTACTTTCAAAGCCCTTTCCAGCTTTGTGATCCGCTTTTGAAGGTCATAGTGATATATGAGATGGCAGTCAGGGTCTTCCAGCCCTTCTTCGCATGTCCGTAGGGCAATTCGTTTCCAGTGTTTCTTCTGGAGGTCCTCGCTCCGTCCATCAAAAGGTGTAAGAGCCCACATATAGTGTTCCTCCAACAGTGCTTTTCGTTGATACCATGCGCCGCGTCGGGCAGCGTGGAACAAGCGCTGGCCTAGCAATTCACACAGGATTTCATGTTCCCGTTTGTGTTCTTTGAAGCGCCCGAAGGGATGAAGGCCTTTATGAATGATCCTTGTATAGACCCACGCTGGAGAAAAGCGACGTAAGTAGGCGCCTTCACCCACTTCGTAGATAGTGTCTTCCTTGCGCTGTTCCTGTTCGAGAAGATTTTTCCATCGGAGATAGACTTCTGTACAAATGCGTTTCACATGCTCCAGTCTTTCCTGAGTAGGAGTGCCGTTGAACTCAAGAAGATTGTCTATTTGATGCTGTTTCCGAAGTGCTGATTCGAATTCAAGCAGAATCTCCCTAGATGGAAAGATCGAGCTAGATCGAGATACAATATACTCGGGGAAATTTCTGCGGGAGATCTTCGCAAGAATTATAGTGGTGAGGGATTTCTCCGTCCATTCCGTGGACCTGTAAAAGACCAGATGGACTCTCTCGAAGAGAGCATAAGGCCCCGGCGCGAGTCTGACGCAGTCGCCGGTATACTCAAGGATTTTCTGAATATAATGGTCATTGCGATTGACAGCAGGGGGTGAGTCGTGCTCTTTATCGTTCCAGTTAAGACCTGTTTGCCTCTGGCTGGACGCACGAAAGGCTTCGAGCAGCTCCTTCTTACTCTTGCCTTGAACCTTTGCATCCTTGGCGAGGACTTTGAGTTCTTCAAGAAGTAGTAGAGAGGATGCTTCCTCCAGAGTCGTTATCTCATCAGTGTCATCGGCGAACCTGAAATGAGTGAGGCCCGCACCACTGCCGGAACTCGTGTCTTCAGAGTTATCATCTGAAGATACTAGAGGGCCAGGCAGCTTACGGCTAGACCGCAGATCAGCAACCGCCTGGGACATATCACTAATGTCGGAGTAACAACCCAAGCGATTGATGCGATGCCAAGCCGAGGTCTTGCGAAGGAAGAGCCGCACATATCTGATGATGAACGATCAGCTTGTCTCCGATGACACGAATCTCATGGCTCCACTCACAAGTATTGGGACTCATACGATAGCTCCTTCCATTGTTTAAAAACCTCTAATTCCGCCTCATTGAAAAGATGGGCTTCTTCGTCCAGCACAGTTTCCAGTGCCAGATTGAACGCATCCACATAGATTGAGCTCTTTCCCTTCCGCCATTTGCCGTCTTGAAGCCTCTGGCGCAGATCAGGCTCATCATCCTGTTCTACCGCATGCGAAATCTCATACTCTTCGATAGCTTGTTTATCTGTAGGAATATCTGGTAGCGAAGACTCTAGTTCTGTCTGACAGTTTGGGACCGGGTTCTCGTCCTCGACCGCGATATCGCCAACTTGAGCCGAGGGTAGGGAATCCCATGTATCTAATGGACTATCAGAGCTATCGAGTTCATTTTCCTTGATGCTGGATCCCTCCTTCCGAAGTGTGACTGTTGTGGGACTCTCTTGACCCTCTTTAGGGGTAGTCTTCCTGCGCTTCACGGGAGGGCGCGATGTGTCCCAGTAGTCCAGAAGGGACATGCTGCCACAAGAGCTTTGACGTGATCATTCGAAACGGAATTTCAGAGAGACTCTCTGTAAACAGCATTAGTATCAATTTGATGGCCAACGACGCGCTGACACGACTGTTCCATCCCCATCGCTAGGCGCCCAAACGAGTCACGAAAAGACGCGAAGTCACCTGAGTTTAATTGGATTTTGTACCTGTTTGATCTGTTTGCAGTCTGACCACTTGGCAGGCAGCAGTAAGATAAGCAGCACTGATGAAGGCGCAATTGTACGCATCTAAAGTAAGCGCATGAATTATGACATCTATCCTCGCACTTTGTATATATATCATCCTTTGACATAATAGTAGCCATGGCGGACGTTCCTGTGAGAAATACTCTCCCCTCATGACCATCCCCACAGTGGAGAGAGCTTGAAGAAGCTCCGCCCGCAAGCTCCGCCCTTGGAGATCTTTCGTTTCAATTGCGGCATCACTTTTAACTTTTAGTCTACTCTTGCTTTGTTTCTCTTTTTCCAGTATCCGTCATACGTTGAGATCGCTACTGCACCATCTAACTCCTAGTCTTTAGTCACCCGACTCAGCCGCCCCAATCAAGAAAGAATTACCCTCTACGTCCTCTGCGCCTCTGAACAATTCACTCCAACACAGTGATCCGACCTCCGGACCCAGCGCATTACATCTACTCAACATGGGCAACGGAGCAACACCCAGCAGCAACACCGGCGCAGCAAACACCCCGCGAGCGGAGTCGAATACCCCCGCGGCGCAGGTCCGTCCAGGCGGCGCGCCCGCACGGGTATACATGAACGAAAAGATAGTGCCGTACTTGCTTGAGGGGATGAAATCCGTCGTCAAAGAACAGTGAGTGGCTTCATATTGCTTCATAATGCGCTTGCCCCGTAATGGCTCAGCGCAGGGCGTTACGCGGGAAGTGCATCGTTCACGCGACTAGTACTAATATGCCTTTGCGACAGACCCTCAGATCCCCTACGCGTGCTAGGCGAGTTTCTGATTCAGAAGAGCAATGAAGTCGAGGGCGGAGCGGTCTCCACGAAGAAATCGCCTGAGTAGGCTGGGGATTCGGACGATGGCGCTAGCGAGCGCTGTGAAATCCATTGAGGAGCGGTTACCTCATGTCTACTGTGCCTCGTGGAGCGAATTTCAGAAAGCAATCTGCATGCTCACGTCTGCATGAGGAAGAGCATCACACCGATCCTTGATTCAGAGCAGCTGCGATCTGATGAGAAGGGACATGGACTCTCGTCAAACCCTGTCTGTGCCAGAGATTATCACTGTGCTGACATTGAATGCTCGACTGTGGCTATTCGGTATCACGGGAGAATATCCCACTACAGGCAAGTTTTTCAATCTATGTTGCAAGCTAGATTCAACGAGGATTGTACGACTTTTGCCTGCATATTCTGGATATAGCAAGAGACTCAATCTCAATTCCGATATTGCCTCTCTAGAGGCGGCGACTTGAAATATCCCCTTCCATAGTCACAGTAGTAATTTTGTAACTCTCGCGTGGATGCGGCCTGGGGGTGATTGCAATATATAGGTCATTCAGCATCAACATTGAAACCACATGCTCCCTAACAGAGGGAAGAGATTAGCAGGGCTGGTGAACAAGATCAATCGGATAATTTAGGTTATACAATATCGGCTTGATGACAGTCTACGGAATACTGTAATAGAAGTTGGTTCTAACACAGCGCCTGAGATCGGAAAGTCTGAGGTCTCCAACAAGACTTCCTCATATGGGGACTACCCCACAGATGCACAAGAAGAATGTGTAACAAGCAGATTGTTCATATTGGAAGAAAACTACTAGACACCACGGATTTGTGATAATAATAACAATAACCCTGATTGTTAGTGTCTCCGTAGAGCCAGATGAAAGAACCGTCACCAGAAGGCTAGCAGAAGGTTGGAGTAGAATGAGAAAGGAGGGCTCTGCCCAAAAACATCGATCAAGGCCAGTGGTTGAATAGAAGCAATTACTGTATCTGACGTTAGTATTCTTTTTCGTAATGTTTGTCCTTACCTCTCCGGCTATCGTCATCAACCAGTGCCATCGACATGGGGTCAGCCAGCCACTGAGGATGCAGCAGCAGGCCTGTAGACAGTGAAAAAACCCAGGGTATTACTTTGGACTAAGTTGATCCGGTCCGGCGCCACGGGAGATGCCACTGGCAGAAGGCTGTCCTCGGGTTGGCGATACTACAGGCACAAATAACAGCGGCTGTGGCAGAGTTGGTGAGGAAAAGCAGGATCCCGTTCAGTCAGTTTGGTTCAAACAAGGCGTAAGAACAGAGTCCTTGTGTGGGTGAATGGGCCGAAGCCATTTTGTTTATGTGTTTCAGGCCGAATACAATCGAGTCGTTACGTAGAGAAAGCTGTATAAGACGCAATAAGGCGAAAAGCTGACTAGCGAGACAACGACCAAGTTTTCCGGAAGAGTTGCAAATGTAGCAGTGCTGACCCATGAGATAATCCGAAGAATTACAACGTTATTGTGAAAATTTGTTTCTCTTTCCCTGCCGCCATATTTCCCGGGTGTATCGAAGCGATGAACAAATGAAAAATATCAGCCCGTGACCGAAGAGAGTCGACACAGTTCTGTCCTGGCCTTTCTTTCTTGCTTTGTTTTGTTTTTGAAGTGGTTGAGAGGTTGGTCGCAAAACTGGTGGCCTTCCGATCGGAAAGACATGTGCATGTGAAGACGACTTTTCCTTCGAAGACAAGAAAACAAACTATTCACGCCCTAGGGTCGGCCGTGGAATCGAGACCCAATTGTAGGGGAACTCTCGAAATAGAAGCGTTTCAAGGAAATTGGGAGAGCAATGGCACGTCACAAGAGGAAGGGGCAGGAGGATAGGAAGATGGGGAAAGGCCAGCGAAAAGAGGAAAAGACTAACACGGGGAATAATTACGTTGCATGAACTCGATTCGAGTGTTGGCTTCCCATGTCGTCAATTCACCTACCGGCCACTGTATCTGTCTTCACCACCACGGGGTTCATAAGAGCGGCCAGCGTAGGGTTCGCGGGCAGGAGGGGCGTCGCCGTAGCTGGGAGGGTTAGCATCACGATCATAATAGCCACGACGATCGTCACGGCGAGGCTCGCGACTGTACCGCTCTTCACGGCCACCACCGCTACCGGAGGCGTAGCGATCAATGCCACCACGGTAGCTGTAGTCGTCGCGGTATTCACGACGAGGATAGTCGCGGTATTCGCGGCCGCCTTCGCGACCACCACCATAGTCACGACGATCACTGTAGGAGTCATAACGACCATAACGGTAGTCGTCACCACCACCGCCGCCGCCGCCGCCGCGACGCCAGCCGCCACCGTGAGGTCCGCGTCTGTCATCATAACGGTCACCACGGCCGCCGCGGCCACCAGGTCCACGGAAGTCTGCAGAAGGGACAAGTTAGCAGTTGATTTGCATCCTTGAGACTCAAAGGGTATGAGGACTTACCACGCTTGGGAGGCCCAAAGTATTTGCCAGGAGTAGGAGTTCTGGGGCGGCTACGACGAGCCTTCTCAATGCTGAGAGTACGGCCCTCGATAACCTCACCCTGCAGGCCCTCCTTGGCAGCATCAGCCTGCTCGGCAGTGACCATCTTGACGAAACCGAAGCCACGAGATTCCTTAGTGTGAGGGTCCACCATGATCGAGCAGTTCTCGACATCGCCGTACTTCTCGAACAGACGGGAGATATCGGACTCGGTCAGACGAGGGTGGATACCGGTGACGAAAAGGTTCGAGCCGGGGTTGATGGCACCTTCTTCATCATCGTCGGGCTTGCGGGAATCGACGGGAGCACTGAACAAGAGATGTCAGCGTGCTGGTTCAAGTGATACAAAGGACTGATAATCTAAGAAAGGGCGAAATTACCGGTCATCGGCACGTCCATTGGGCGAACGGCTGCGAGCACGATCGCCCCGAGGCTCATCGCGAGGAGAAGCGCTGCGGTCGCGAGCGAAGCGAGGCTCGTCTGAAGTTGAGAGAAGCAAAACAAATTAGTACTGCGACCGCTGTATTGACGACTATGATAGTTGTCGATCGGGATGTCCTTAGGCAAACACATACCGTCGTAGCGACCGTTCTCGTTATCGTATTCAGCAGACATTATGTCGATTTTGGAATAGAGGAGGAAACGAAGAAAGTAGATAGGTGATAAGGGAGGTAAAAAAGATGAACAAGGCTCGTTACTCGAAAGAGCGCGCGAGATGCACGTCCTGCAACAAGGCTGTGGTTGAATGAAGGGGAAAAAAGGAAAGCAGAAAAATCCAATCAGCAACAGTCGCGGATTAGATTAGTCTGCGTTAGGAATGCTGAAAACGCGAAGTTATCAGATTCCCGTCAGTAGAAGGAGAAGTAGAAAAAGGAGGAATGAAAGAGATGGGAGATGGAAGGAGGATGGGTGGTGATGATGATGGTTGGAAAGGAAGGGGGAGAGACGGAGCAGGAAAAAGCGAGGCGAACAATTCCAGACCGGGCGCGGTTTCTCCTGTGGATGGCGCCAAGCCTCAGCACGCCTGGTGTTTGTCTGCAGCAACGAATGTCCCTGTCAACAAGGAGTATCTACGGAGTACTGTTGGCAGTTCAGTAAAAGCTGCGACAGTTTCTACTGTCTACAGATGATGGAAATAGATTTTTTTGCAGTAAACTCAGGGTCAATTCATCCGTAATCAATTAATTCCCGTTCTTAGCAAAGACCACAATGCGCGAAACAATGCTTCATCCACACGGTTATAACACTCATAACACGCCTTTGCTCCCATCTCTAAGGTTAAGGTTCGAAATAAAACACGCAAGGGGAATAGAAAAGGATTCAAAACAGAATCGCGGAGAAGAAAGGAAGTTTGCTAAAATCATGCTCGCAAGTACGTCGAAGAATCACTTGAATCCACGCCATCGCCTCCGAGTCCGATGGACTTTCACAGCCGTCTCGCTGGTTGGACCGTCTGACGCAGCAGCGGCTGTATCGGTGGGCGCCGAGTCCCCCTCCATCTCATCGTCTACCAAGTCTTTCAATTCGTCCTCATCCAACTCGCTAAGCTCCTCACTCATCCCCCGCATGACATCGCGACCGGTCCAGCGTTCTTCGTGGATAGTCGTTCCGACGGGATCGAATGGTTGCATGTACCATAGAATACCACCCTGTGACAAGGGATGCTGCGGATCACCCTGAAAGCTTGGTGGAGGCGTGAGGAGCCCTTTCTGGGATTCAGCCGGCTGTGCGAGTAGTGGCGGGCTATTAACTTCCTCCTTGCTTGGCTCGGCTTCCTGCTGTGCTTCAGCACTGGTGGGAAGTGTTGCCGATGCTGCAGGAGTTATCTGATTTTCCGGCTCCGTCACAGCCGCCGGAGCAGTAAATTCAGCAGAATCAGTCATGGGAGTATCCTGTGCTTGAGCATCTGGGATAGACCGCTCATTCCCAGCGTCAGGCATGGGAGTATCCTCGGTCTTCTCAGGTAGGGCTGAGGAGGATGATTCCTCTTGAGGCTCGACTTTGGCAGAGAACTCTGCTTTACCACCCACTTTCTCTTGCATACCATCCGAAACTTCACCAGAAACCTGATTATCGATATGCGCTTCGCCTTCAGCCGGCTCTGCAGATCCTTCTTCCACCGATCCTCTTCGGGAGAGGACGCTGTTCTCAAACATGAGATCCAGCTCTTTCAGTTCCTTTTCGAAGGGCTTGCGGTTGAGCTCGCTTTCTTTCTTGATCGCATCCTCGAGAGCGGGCTGGATGGCCTTAATGATGCGCTTAGCCAATTTCCTCTTCTCACGCTGTTCAAGAGGGAGTTCAGGTGCGCGCCCGCTGATCTGCATTTGTAACTCAGCGGTGTCCCCGGCAGGTTGAACCCCTATTTCCGACGTGAATATGGAAGCTAGGTCGGCCGAGAAGGCTGCAACCGATGTGTAGTACCGCTGCTGAAGTTTCGTGCGTAGAGAAAGCAGACCTTGTTTGAAAACACCTTTTCCGTCAAGCCTAAGATGCCATTAGCGAGGAAATTGTAACCCTTCGATGACCAGAAAGAGAATACTCACCCTT